CTATTTGCCAGGAAGTGAGAGGACCGGATGCCATGATCTTAGTTTTCTTAATTTTGAGTTTCAAGCCAACTTCTGTGCTCTCCTCCTTCACCCGCATCAAGAGGCTCTTTAGTTCCTCTTCACTTTCTGCCGTGAGAGTGGTATCATCTGCATATCTGAGGTTGTTGATATTTCTCCCATCAATCTTAATTCCAACTGGTGATTCATCTAGCTCCGCCTTTCTCATGATGTGCTCTGCATATAAGTTAAATAGGCAGGGAGACAGTATACAGCCTTGCTGAACTCCTTTCTCAATTTTGAACCAATCAGTGGTTCCGTGTCCAGTTCTCACTGTTGCTTCTTGACCCTCATATAGGTTTCTCAAGAGACAAATAAGATGGTCAGGTACTCCCATCTCTTTAAGAACTTGCCACAATTTGTTATGATCCACACAATCAAAGGCTTTAGCGTAGTCAATGAAGCAGAAATAGATGTTTTTCTGGAACTCCCTAGCTTTCTCCATGATCCAGCGTATGTTGGCAATTTGATCTCTAGTTCCTCTCCCTCTTCAAAATCCTGCCTGTACTTCTGGTAGTTCTCGGTCCACATACTGCTGGAGCCTAGCTTGTAGGATTTTGAGCATCACTTTGTTAGCATGTGAAATGAGTGCAATGGTGCGGTAGTTTGAACATTCTTTGGCATGGCCCTTCTTTGGGATCGGAATGTAAACTGACCTTTTCCAATCCTGTGGCCACTGCTGAGTTTTCCAAATTTGCTGGCATATTGAGTGTAGCACTTTTACTGCATCGTCTTTTATGATTTTGAATAGCTCAGCTGGAATGCTGTCACCTCCACTAGCTTTGTTGTTGCGCAGACTTCCTAAGGCCCATTTGACTTCACATTCCAGGATGTCTGGCTCAAGGTCAGTGACCACCCCATTGTGGCTATCAGGGACGTTAAGCTCTTTCTTGTATAGTTCTTCTGTGTAATCTTGCCTCCTCTTCTTAATCTCTTCTGCCTCTGTTAGGTCCCTGCCATTTTGGTCCTTTATCATGCCCATCTTTGCATGAAACGTTCCCTTCATATCTCCAATTTTCTTGAAGAGATCTCTGATCCTCCCTATTCTATTGTTTTCTTCTATTTCTTTGCACTGTTCATTTAAGAAGGCATTCTTATCTCTTCTAGCAATTCTTTGGAATTCTGCATTCAATTGGGTGTATCTTTCTCTTTCTCCCTTGCCTTTTGCTTCCCTTCTTTCCTCAGCTATTTGTAAAGCTTTCTCAGTCAGCCATTTTGCTTTCTTTTTCTTTGGGATGGTTTTAGTTGCTATCTCTTGTACAATGTTGCGAACCTCCGTCCATAGTTCTTCAGGCACTCTATCAGATCTAATTCCTTAAATCTATTTGTCACCTCCACTGTATATTCATCAGGAATATGATTTAGGTCATACCTGACTGGCCTAGTGCTTTTCCCTACTTTCTTCAATTTAAGCCTAAATTTTGCAACGAGAAGCTCATGATTGGAGCCACAGTCAGCTCCTGGTCTAGTTTTTACTGACTGTATAGAGCTTCTCAATCTTTGGCTGCAGAGCACATAGTCAATCTGATTTCTGTGTTGACTGTCTGGTGATGTCCATGTGTAGAGTCGTCTCTTGGGTTGTTGGAAAAGAGTGTTTGCTATGACCATCGTATTCTCTTGACAAAATTCTACCAGCCTGTGCCCTGCTTCATTTTGTACTCCAAGGCCAAACTTGCCTGTTATTCCAGTTATCTTTTGGCTTCCTACTTTAGCATTCCAATCCCCCATGATGATAAGGACATCATTTTTTGGTGTTAATTCTAGAAGGTGTTGTAGGCCTTCATAGAACCGGTCAACTTCAGCCTCTTCAGCACCAGTGGTTGGGGCATAGACTTGGACTACTGTGATGTTGAATGGTTTGCCTTGGATTCGAACTGAGATCATTCTGTCATTTTGGAGATTGTATCTCAGTACTGCTTTTCCTACTCTTTTATTCACTATGAAGGCTACTCCATTTCTTCTGAGGGATTCTTGCCCGCAGTAGTATACCTGATGGTCATCTGAATTAAATTCACCCATTCCTGTCCATTTTAGTTCACTGATTCCTAAGATGTCGATGTTCAATCTTGTTATCTCTTGTTTGACCACATCCAGCTTGCCTTGATTCATGGATCTTACATTCCAGGTTCCTATGGAGTATAGATCTTTACAGCATCGGACTTTACTTGAGTTAAACTAAGTGTATCTTACTGGCTCAGTTCATTGGTAAAAGTATTTTGTATGATTCTTTGTCAGTACAGCAAAAAATCTCAAATAAGGTGAACTTTACAGTAACTTAAGCACCACACAGAGTTTTGCAGGAGTTGTATTGATACTGTGATGTAAATATCAGCCAGTGCAGAAGAGGGTGCACCTTCAGCACAAAAGGGAGGTTAAGATGAAGACCGAATGAAAAGTATGCCGCCTGGAGCAGGTGCATTAAGATGCAGAAGACAAAATTGCAAGGGTAGTGGCAGCATTATAAAATGCAATGCCAAGGAAGGGTAGAAGAACAAGAGATGTAAGCAGAGATGTAACCATCCCCCTTCTAACTATGTATTTAAGAGTGCCAGGGCTTTGTTCTTACTTATTCATTAGAAAGGGTAATAATTACCCCACATCTTTCCGGGTAGAAGTTCACATTGAAAATACCTTCCAATACTCAGTTCTGGTCCTGTGCCTGAACAATGTGCTGCAAGCACCATTGGAAATGCCTGTATATTAAAAAAAAAAAAGACCAAGAAATGTGAAGTGGGTGGAGTTGACAGAAATTGAATATGGATGTAAGAATCCTTCACTGAAATTTGGCCCAGCAAGTATGGTATGGGTATGAAAAAGAGCATTGTATTAGTCTCTCTTCATCTGTGGAAATGGGAATAAAAATGACTTCACAGTTCTGTTGAGGATATGATAAAAAGGAGACAAAGCATGGAGACAAATCATGCACCCCAAATGTGTTAGCATGTGGTATTGCAATCTGTGCTCATGATAGTCCATCACAGAGCAATTCTCATCCAAAATTGCTAGTACAGTCCCATGCCCTCCTTATATTATCCAGAGATTGGTGGGGTGGTATGAGCCCTGCTAGTGGTTACTATCATTTGGTACATAAGCTCTGAAAAAACAAAGATGCACAAGGAAAGCATCTGAATGGGGATGGGAGTGTATTACCAGAACAGATTTTTCTCTCCCTTTCCGATCTCTGTCTCTCTATCATGACCATCTATATCCCATCCTCCAAGAAATTTCCAGGAGGACCTGCATAATCAAAATCCTGAAACAAAATACACATTAAAAAAATCAACCACCCTCCTGAGTTTTCCAGCTTTTGGCCTCTTTAGCTGAGTATTAAACAATAAACGACATGTTAGTCTCTATGCCATGCTTAATTTCTTGAAAAAAGATCCACCTGATCTAAAAATTCTCCAACCACTGGTGTCTGGGGCTCTCATTGCTTATAATTGGTGATGGAAAAGACTGTTCTTGCTATGGTACTCACCTAACTAAACAAGCTTTTGTTGATTGTTTGAATTTTAGTTGATTCAATTTGCATATGCAAATGAGATCTAAAATAAGTTGCACCTTTCCCGTTTCAATTACTTTTAGAATCTTAGCAAAGTCAGAACCTTGGAAGAGATTCTTTTCTCTCTTAAGTATGCCTCTTTGAAGATGATGATGGCTGCCTTCCATCTGGAGTTTTCACTGTTTGTATATTTAGAATCTACTTAACCAGTGGTGGCATTTCTACTGATGAATTGATGAATGAATGGAATGCTGTGTTACCCCAATTCTTGCTTAAAGTATTCCAGGGTTAAGTACAGGCTGAAACTGTACTTAGGAGGTGATAACCTGAGAACAAATTTAATACGGACAGTCAGTGAGGTATGGTGGTACAGTTGGGCTACGGACCCAGGAGGTCCTGAATCTAGTCCTCATTCGGTTGGGAAGCTCACTGGTGACTTTGAGTCTGCTACTCTCAGCCTAACCTTCTTCACGCGTTCTGTAGATAAAATGCAGCGCAAGGGAGCTATGCAAGCTGCCTTGGGTTCCTCACGAGGCAAAAAGGCGGGATATAAATTTATTTATTTAAAGCTTTCATAGACCGTTCTATAGCATATTTAAATACTGGCATGCGAGCTTCTTCTCTCAACGCTCCCGCCTCCCATGTTTACACTGGGTATCTCCCGTCACACCACCTCCTCCCGAATGATACTGGATGTGGTCTGGCGGGACCGGTGGCGGGGGGCGTCCCAGGCGCTCGGTGCGGCTCCCGTAGTTTCCTCCCAGAGAAGACAGAAAAGAACAATTAATAACTAGTAGCCGCCGCCTTTCCCCTTTCCCGCTCTCTCTGTCTCCCTCTTTCTCCTTGGAGGTGCCGACGGGGGCCTGGCCTCCCACCGGGGAGCCAATGCCCTCCGACGCCTTGGCAGCAGGAGGCGAAGGGCGTCGGCCCGCCGCTCGTGGCGGTGCGGCGGCGGTAGCGGTGCGGCGGCGGCGGCGCCGCGTGCGTGCGTGCCTGCCTGCCTGCTCGCGCGCGCGCATATCTATATATGCGCGTGTGTGTGCGTGCATGCGCGCGCCGGGCTGGCCGGGGACAGAAGAGGGTCTGCGGTAGCAGCCCGCGGCTCCTGTCAGTGCACGAGGCGGGGTGTTTTCAGCAGCGGCAGCCGCCAGGCGGCTCCGCCCAGCCTGGCGTCTCCTCCACCCCCGTCGCCCACCCATATCCCGCTCAGGAGGGGCCGGTGGGCAGGAGAGCGCCTCAAAGCTGGGCCGGGACTCGGAGCAAGAGTAGCCGGCGCAGCCCTCCCACCTCCTCTGCCCTCCCACTGCATCCCCAGCAGAAACTTCCCTGCCGGGCTCTCGTCCTCCTCGCCGCCGCCGCCTCCTCCTCCACGCGCCGCTCAGCCCCACGCTCTCCTTCCGCGGCTGCGGCAGCTACCCGAGCGCTCGTCTCTCGGGGGACGATGCTCTGGCTCTCCAGCAGCTTCCGAGCGGTGGCTCAGCTGCTCCGCTCCCCGCGGCTAGCCTTCGCCGCCTGGCTCTTGCTGCACCACCTTGGACCCCCCATGGCCCGGGCTTCCTCCTTCCTGACAGGTAAGGATGAGGAAGGGGATGCTGAGTGCAGGTCAGTGCGCACGGGAGGGAAGGTCGCACGCGCTCGCCCTCCACCTCGCCGTGCGAAAGTTTTGCGCGTGCAGTGCGCGTGCAACAGGAGCAGGTAATGGCTTTTGTGCGCGGCACTGCTTTTCTTCCTTTCCTTCCTCAGTGGAAAACGCAGAGATGATGCAGGGAGCAAAAGCATAGCCGGGGTAGGGTTGTGAGCGCACGAGTGCCGTGCAGTTAAGTGCTTGGAACCACATTTCGTCTTGCTGACAGTAGATCCATTGACATCGTTGGGACTGAAGTTGGACACAGCTGGTGCAAGTCCTATTGGTTTCATTCTACTCTCAGTATGACGAGGTGTAGACCCCGTACGAGAATAAGGTCTTTTCGGAAATTATTTTTGAAGCTAAACATCCATTAAGATTTTTTTTTCTTGCTCTTCACTTTTGGAAATAGGGATATCCTACCGGAATGATCCTATGCGGGCAGCCACGATTGACTGCAACTCCCTTTGAAGTGTCAAACTTGGGTATGGTGCCAAATAAAGTGTAGACTGCCCCCGCAGCCTCCTGATGGATTCCGAGGACAATTTCTTGTAGACCTGAGCAGCCAGCTAGATCGATAATCACTGGATGCGCTGCACCAGCATGAGAGCAAGCCGCGCATTGGATCATCACACAGGGCTAATACTGAGTTAGGAAGCAGGCGCTCAGTATACCAGGATACTCTCCTGGTATCCTGAAAAGTAGCAGATTTACAGAGTTGCCCTAAGAGACCATTGTGCGGACAACAGTGGTGCGGACAACTCCCGCTCTGCCGAACGAACAAAACCAATTGTTTCAATAGTTAAAGTAAATTTTTTTTCAGGCAGGTGAGCGACTCACCCCTTCCACCCCAACTCTGTTCATGACACCTGGTGCCTAAAGGGAAATGTTAAGTCCGTTTCTAGACCTTGTGCGAAGTGCTAAGTTTTCAGAAATGGTTTCCGTGGATGAGAACTGTTTGAGGTATGGTCATCAGGGAGGTTTTGCCTAACTGGATTTATTTTGCAAGTTGATGCTGATGTTTCAAATATGCTGGTGAATGAAAGGCTGGTATTTCATTCTTTTGGTCTGATCCACATACATTAACAATAGGGGTTCTCGCCTTTCGTTCTACAGACAGGTCAGATCCTTATCAGAGTTGCCCACATTTCATTTTAAAAGATAATCTTGCAAGTCATTGAGAAATATCCCTGTCTGCTGAATATATATGATGTATATATGATGCCTACAATGAATGCGAAAGATTGTTGTTAACTGACAAAGGCCAATATGATTGTTGCCTATGCTTTTGATCTCTCTCTCTCTCCTCCTGTAATAATAAAGAGCATTTTTAAGTTTACAAATAGTAAAATATAGTACATACAGCTGAATCAAAGCAAAAGCCAAATTTACTGAAAAATCAGTTCTGTTCCTTTCCATGGGACTTGCTTTCTCATAAATATGGTGAGGTTTGCAAACTTTGACTGTAATCCTGAACATAGACTATTTAACTCGGTTCTGAAGCTAAGCACTGAATGGACAAAGTGAGGAAAAAGTATTAATTTTTAAATTTCCATGCAGGCTCTGTCGCAAAATGTGAAAACGAGGGAGAAGTTCTACAGATCCCTTTTATCACAGACAATCCTTGCATAATGTGCATTTGCCTGGTAAGTGTGAATTCCACTGATAAGATCAAACGAGAATGTCTTATGTAATCAAATATTGCTTATCTTTTTCTTTGTGCAGCCAGAGGTTATCTTACTGCTGTACTGGCTACAAAAATTTCCACTTCATAATCATGGAATTGTATCCTTGACTTTAGCTTGGACAGAAATCTTTCAACTGACTTTGCCCATGACATTGTGAGAATATCTGAATGTAGATGTGTTTGTGATTGAAATTGTTTCCCCCTAGTGTCCATGGTGCTGAGGCATTGCTGAACATTCTTTGTAGTGTTTGTGTTCATGGCCAAGAAGAAGGAAGGAATTGACATTTAGTTTGAGTCTTTGCTTATTTCAGCACAAGCTCAAAAATTGGCTCTGGAGATATAATGAGAGATACAACAGGTCAGTAAGAGAACACAATCCAGGTGGTTGGGACGTCCAAGTCCTTTTTCAAAATGCAGTATGGTATACTTTCAGGCATTGCATTCTTGGCTAGACATATTGTAATAAAAAGACAATGCCAGCACACATGATACTTCTATCAAAAAACTGCTCTCTGAGGATGACACGGACTGTTGTTTGTTCGGGAAGTTCAGATTCCCTGTTAGCTAACAATGACCCTGGTTTGTATTCCACAGCAAAGGAAATACCCCCTTACTCTTACAGTGGAGCTCAGTTTCATAGTAGAAATACTACAAGCCAGACTGTGAGGGCCCAGAAAAATCAGCAGTAATATTTAGAAAGCAATTTGAAAAGATTTTTTAAAAAGTTCTCCAACACAAAATCACATGGGAGCTAGAGCAGAAATAGTTGTGTTTATAGACTTTGGAAAGTGAAGCTGGGGAACATATCTTACAGAATGCTTTTGGGCCATAAATACATTATTTTCCACCTGTCATGTCAGAAATGGAGATAGGTGTTCTTGGTCACTGCTGCTTTCAAAAAATTAAGGCAGTCTTATATATTTGTTACTATGGTGCCATTTCTGAAGCTTGCCTCCCAGCAAGGGCAGTTGTGCTTGGCCATTATTTAGAGAGTCATGAAAACCTCTGGATCAATATGCTGGTAGTAATTTCGGAGAAGGAAGAGAAACTGGAGGAAAAAATGGGTGGGTGGGGAAAGTGAAATATAACAAATTGCCTGTGGTTTTACTTATCTTAAAGATGTGTGCAGTCAGCTGTTTTTGTATGATTTGTATCAGCATATTTCACCAATAGTTTGTGTGGTTGATATTTAATCCCACTTAGTGTTCCAATTAAAACTGAAGTAAGGTGTTAAACAGGTGCCTTGGCTAACATTTGTGCACTGACCATCATATTTGTTCCAAACATCTCAGAACAGCTATTTTCCTGCTTAGTGTTCTGTTATTCTATCTCAGGGATAAGAGCTTTCCTTTTAATAATAATTCAAAAATATGCATGAGCTCCTCCTAAGTAACCTGTAACAATAAATACTATGTCATTTGTGTGTGTCTGTAAATTTGTGTTTCACAGTTTGGACTGCCTCAGCCACTTTGTACCTTTGTAGTTACTTCATTCTTTCTCAAATGTATTAAGATCCTGCTATCTATATCTGAGCCACAGTTTATGCACCAGGCTTTTGATGTCTGCCTCTTGATCCTTGACAAATTTTAGCTTGGTCTGAGATGCATCCACATTGGAACAGCATTCTACACAAGTGAGGCTACCCATTCTACTATTGCATTTCACATTTCTCAACGGTGACTCTGCCTGTATGAAAGAATGAGTTATTTGGAGTTAAATAAACCACAATGAGTTGTAATGTCTGTGTCACATGGTCACAGTTATCCTTTTGAATATGCAGCCCTAGTCTGGGGTTGTATTGTGTCATGTGAATTCAGTCACTGTTAGTCGTTTGAGGGTTAAACAACTTTCACATAACCTTACTATTAATCAAGCGTCATGTTTGGGCGGTTTAAACATGGAATAACCCACAGTGGCTGGCTTTGCATCCCCCAGGCCAACCCTCAATTGCAAGTTGCATATTCAAAACAGCAGTGGGATGCACCATTGTTTATAACATGTGATGGCTTGGCCATGTTGTGTGAACTGGGCCAGTCAGTAGTACATCTGGAAGCTGCTTAGAGCAAGGCCTCTGCTTCCTTCTTCCACACTTCCTTTTCTGCTAGTGGATATCCTGTCAGTTCTTTTTTGGGGATGAATATAGGATTGCCTTTGGTGGGGTTTACCCATTTCTAATTTTTTGCATAGCCCTTTTAGTTGTTTATGTAGTTTTATCTGTGCCTAAGAAGTACTAAAAAACAAACCAACACACCAAAATCGTTTGCCATCCCAATAGGAAAAAGCCTGTATGTACACAATTTCTATAGGCGTCACTGTGTGGACAACAACAACAACTTCTTTCCCCTGGGTGACCCTTCTCCAAACTTGCTTTTATGATCTCAGAAGAGAAGCTGGATACAGTGGGATGCAAGCAAAGGTCCCCACCTGTGAGGTCGGAGAGGTTTTCCAGCCTCATGACTAGGGATCTAAAAAATCATATCACTGCCTAGACATAATGAGCAGCTTGAAGAATTGCTCTGCTGGTGATTTATTTAAAAAAAAACGTGAATCACTAAAAATTCTGAATTTAGACAAGAACTCATTTGTTTAATTTTAACATTCCACAATTTTGGAATTGCAGAACAGCCCTCATTAAAGAGACAAATCAGATTGTGCCAAGAAGTGCATCAACTAGTGCGCCAAAGCTCAGGAAATTTTCACACAAGAAGCTTGATGCTAACTTCTGATCCAGAAGAGCATATGAAGTAGAGTTTTGCAATGTGAATGAATTTTCTTTCCCATGTAGGTTTTATATTTGGATTGCAAAGAGATGAAAGCAAGAGCTGGTGTAAGTTTCATCTGCAAAAAGATCCAAACCATGCAATCCTGTATGTATCTACTCAAAGTAACACCCATTGAGTTCATGGAATTTGTTTTCAAGGCCGTACAGAATTGTAGCCTCCGTGTTAGTTCTGGTTTTAAATATGGTAACCACTTCCAGTAATACAGTCTTACTGATTTAAGCTGGAACATGTCATCAGTGCAGACTACCAAAAGGTATGGAACCCATTTAGATGAAGTTATGGCCTGCAATTCTTTGTTAAGCTATAATTACCCCAAATTCTGCTTTTAATTAAATTAAAATCAAATTAAAAAGTGAAAAAAATTATGAGATACATTTTTCACCAAGAATTTTTAAAAAGCAGCTTGGGCTTGTTGACTGATCTATATATTAAAAAGTGGGTATGTAAACTGACTCTGTATCATATGTGTTTGTGTACATGCATGTGCGTGTCTGGATAATCAATTCTATATGACCTTTTGCAAGGGTAGTGATTTGTACTGGAATAGCACCTTCCATCCAAATATTTTACACTGTTATACAGTCACAACAACAAATAGGTCTCACACAAACTCTGTGTCAAAGAAACTCTAAGCACTATAGGTAAGATTGCTCTAAATGGCTTACAGGAATGAAAATCAGACAATAGAATCCTAGACTATTCGCCTGCCAAACTGTATATTCTGGCACAAAGGAGTCCAACTTTCTCAAGTGTATAGCCAACCCATTAAATTCAATGGAACATGTAAGGCACAACTAATTTATGGATCTCTTCTAAGCATGATTAAGTCTAGATCCATCCCAAAGAATTTCACTTCAGTAGAACTGTCTTAATTCTTAAAGCACTTGTCTTAATTCTGTTTTCTTGAACTGCTGTTTGTTCTTTCTCTCCAGAGCCTTTTCTTCTTTGAGGGTGTACAGTGTTCGCTTGCTTATCATAATTTTGCATGACTTAATCAAAATGTGACTATTAAAGTATATTGTCTTAGGCTGTTGTTGTTTCCTATGTAGGAAAGAGGCTGGGTGGAATTGTCATTGTGGGGGCATGAACCCCACCTCTAATGATGCCCAGTGCTCATGTGTATATGGAAGTGTAGGCACGGAATCTGTGCCAACAGCTGGAACTTGCATGATCTGTACAACTCATGTGAATCATACCTGCATATGTAGGTTCCCGTGCAAAATGTTCGGCTGTATTCCTGAGCACCAGCCACATGGAGAGAGTGCAGCCTGCCATCACAGTCGTATGGCATTCCCTACATTTGCACAGGGCTTACCTTTCTACAGAAACAAACACAGTTTTATTTAGGAACATCTCAAGCTGATCTTCATTTATTCATGGCGTGGGACAAGGGACATCTGGCCACCCTTGCTTCTCCAAGAAGCTCTGGACTCCCAGCAGGCATGTTCAGTGCCTTTAAAACTAGTTTTGAATCATCAGGTTAGGCCATGGATTTGAGGAATATGGATACAGACGTAGGACTGGTTCATAAATACACATTTATTAATTACAGTTTTATACTGATTTTTTTTCCTACAAGGAACCCATGGCAGCTTACACAGTCCTCCTCCTCGATTTTATCCTCACAGAGCAGTCCTGTGAAATAGGTTAGACTGAGGTCCAGTGGCCATCCCAAAGTCACCCAGTCAGCTTCATGGCTGAGTAAGGCCTGGAATCCATATCTTCTAAGACCAGTGCAAAACTCTTAATTACTCTGCCCCACTGGTTCTCTACATGAATAAATATTTGTACTTTTTCAATTTTAACTTTAACATCTTTGAATGTGACACCACAGAAGAAATGCTGTAAGCATTTTAATATCAATGCAAACATGATAATATCCAGTATAAATTAGTTCCTGCCTTTAGCTGCCAGTCATCAAGCGTAGAATACTGAAATGATGTACAAGTATGTGAACCTGTCCTCCAACTTGGGGTTTTGAAGGAATGTGTGAAAAGAAGTGCTTTGCAGTGTTGCTGAGTATATGTGGGAACCTGTTTAGTAGGCAGTTCTTGGCAACAGGAAAAATATATACCAAAGGGAATAATGTCATGTTAACACTTGTATAGGTACAGGCATAATAAACTACTCTAAAGTTTAGCTGGGTTTGTATGTGCAGAAAATAGATCATGTGGGG